CAGTCAAAAGATATAGTTAAAGATGTTGTTAGTATGGGGAAAGGTAGATACAAAAAACAACACCCCTTTCATAAAGTATGAGGACTAAAGTTTGGCCCACAGAATGCCCACCAAGACGGAACAAGTTGATGGTACTTAAAGGACCTACATCAAATGAACCATTTCGAGTATGCCGGAATGGGATATCTCGAATTACATCTCTTCCGGACTTGACCAAACTATCACTGGTTCGTAATACTGACGATCAATCTGATAATGATGAAACTGATGAAGACATCCTAGCTGCTCACGGTAATCTTTCCGCTCACGGTAATCTTTCCGCTCACGGTAATCTTTCCGTTCTAAATCCTTCGGTACTCCCTCCTGTCAACAGAGAAAGCGGTCGGGTGGTCTGTCGAGCTCGTAAGTTAGAAGCTGATCCACAATTGCTCAAACCTGGCCAAATTCAGGGTCTTGACAACCATCCAAGTCGAGCAGGTCACGATCATCCAAGCCGAGCAGGTCACGATCATCCGGGACGAGGTAACCACCTACGGCCCGAACAACCAGTATTGAGGACATCCGACGGCATTATTCTCCAAATCGGGTGTCTTCGGGGTGGCGTCCGTAGCAGTCCTCTTGAAAGCTGCAGCGCTAGACCCCATCCCCTTGGACCGGAGCCTCCTGGACTCGACCCGCAAGGACCCGACCCGCAAGAACCCGACCCGCAAGGACCCGACCCGAAAGGACCGGACCCGCTAGGACCCGACCCGAAAGGACCGGACCCGCTAGGACCGGACCCGCTAGGACCGGACCCGCTTAAACGAGAATTTGGTCGCGGCAGTTTGGACTACAAGACCCACCAGCTGTCTGAAGAACAATGGGGCAATCGGCGCCTTAGCCCTTGGACCTATCGGCTGTCTGGCCCCGGTCCGAGACCCGGTTCCGGGTCATCTTCACACACTAAAAGTCGGTCGCTAATTCGCCACTACAGTCCTACCGAATTACCTCCAGCTACTTCCCCCGAATTTCCTACCTCCTCTACCACTCCTTATCCAGTCACGACCCACACTGGCGCTTTGGTCCGAGGCGGTGTTGCTTTTGGCCCTAGTGGTGTAGACCCGGGAATTCGGACCAGTTCGTCCTTCCTCAAGGACATTCCGTTAGAGCCTCTGCCTTCTCTCCGACATTCGACACAAAGCCCCAGTGCACAATCCTCGGTTACTTCCAGCCCGCTGGCTAAGTACGCACCCGTGTGCTACAGTCGACCGCCGCCAGTAGTTCTCTCCCGACCGGCGGAAGCGGAAGGGAGAGGGAGGCGCGGACGGTGCTTATGAACGGGATCTAAATTGAGCCACTTGGCTGTTGCGTAGTCGTCGTCTCACTCTCTTTAAGTGACGATGTATGTATGGTTGGTGACGATGTATGGCTAAAGACATTTTTGGAACAGTTTTGTGTCTGCAGCAATACAGGCTGCAGCAATACTGTCTGCAGTGGGGAATACACCACCGCCGGTAACAATACACCGTGGGGAATACACCACCGCCGGTAACGGTACACCGTGGGTCGGAATATAGCACCAGGTATCTGAACCGTGGGTCGATCGTGGTCCGCTGGGGCCACATTTTCTGCAGAAGCCACGCGCGTGTTTGTCGGACATGTGCGTGATTGTCGGACACGCGCGTGATGGTCGGACACTCACTCTTCTGCACGCAGTGTTCTGCACGCACTGTTCTGCGCGCGTTTGATGGAATTATTATATAGGGGTCGCTTAAGGGCAGTGAAAGTCCCATAAATGGGAGTCGCTTAAGAGAAGGGGTCAGTCATCTCCCTCCGAAGACCATCTTGGGGCCAGAGATTATTCTCTTCAGAGATTATTCTCTTCAGGAATTGCTAGGATGATTCGTTGAGACCCTCAGCGTCGTCTGAACAATAGAAGCACTTGGGGGATGAAGAGGTGTCTTGGGCGATAGACATCTAATGAGTAGCGACAGTCGAATAGGGCAGAGCGACAGGAGAGATTAGACACGGAGGGGGGGGGGGGGTGGGAAGAGTATCGTGATGGGGGTTTACTTACATGGCCGCAGCGCGTGCAAACATATTCTGCGGTTGGTGTTTCTTCTTCCTGGCGTCGACGATTATTCCGAGTGAGGAACGGTGACCGAGATTTAAGAAGGGGTAGTACTATGACTGGTTTATCCAGACAGTCCTTTTTCTGCTTCTTCACAATCGGGCAGGACTTCTCACGTTCTCGCTTCCGCCCCACCGAGCAGTGCATTTTCAAACCCGATATTTTTGGGGTCGTTGTTGAGACCATTTCACTTCAGGGTGCTTTTACCTCTGCGTGGTGCGTTTATTATCATCAGCAGAGAGTGTTACATCGGCGCCTGCTTCCGCTCTTTTGTATTTTTTTATGGGAGCTGACAAGTAAGTACGGGCAAAAAGTAAGTACGGGCAAACGCGTGTTTCCCAGACACGTGTTTGTATGTAGCTATAATGTATGTAGCTATAGAGTATGTAGCGACAATTTTAGAGCATCACTACGACGATCTGAAATGAGTAGCATAAGGAGTGGATCATC